ACCAGGGAACGGGGGAGGCAACCACGACTATTTTGGGAAGTAAATTTTACAGAGGTAAGGCCAGGAAAATATGAGTATAAATATTTGCCGGTTATGGTAAACACCTTTTCAGGGTGGCTGGAGGCCTTTCCTACCAAGGGAGAAACGGCGTCAGGAGTGGCAAAGAAAATCCTGGAGGAAATAGTTCCCAGGTGCGGACTGCCAGAGCACAGGGTCCGATAATGGGCCGGCCTTCACAAGTCAAGTTAGTCAGGGACTAGCCCGAGCTCTGGGGGCGGATTGGAAATTGCATTGCGCATACAACCCTCAGAGCTCAGGGCAAGTAGAAAGAAGGAACAGAACCCTAAAGGAGACCTTAACTAAATTGGTCCTGGAGACTGGCGGGGACTGGGTGACCCTCCTTCCCTTCGCCCTGTTCCGCGCTCAGAGCACCCCCTACCATTTAGGCTTAACCCCTTTTGAAATAATGTATGGTTCCCCCCACCTGTAATACCAAAAATAGATTCCGGGGCCTTGCCTGCAGGTCGCAGAGAAGTGCTGCAGGCGGTGGAAGCTCTGCAGCAGGTTCAGGGCCAGGCATGGCCTGCCCTCAGGCCATTTACCAGGCTGTCCAGCAGGGGAAGAAAATGTTAACAGGCATCCTTACCAGCCTGGAGAATGGGTATGGGTAAAGTGGCATAATAGTAAAACCCTGGAACCCAGGTGGAAGGGGCCTTTTCAGATTATTCTTGTCACTCTCACTGCCCTAAAGGTTGAAATAAAAATGCTTGTAGTAACTTTCATATTCCAAACCCCTAAGAAAAAATAATAGCTGCCCCCTACAACTATTCGGGTGAGGAGGCCCCTAGGGTCTGCGCGTGGGACCAAAAAGGGCAAGGACTCACTCTCCAGATGGTCACCGGGAACGGCACCTGCATGGGGGAAAGTGCCTCCAAGCCACACCCAGCTCTGCGCCGAGGCTCATCCCTCCGTAAGCCAGAGCAATAAGGGAAGCGGATAACCCGGCACTCAGCGGGTGGTGGGTATGCTCTGTAACGGGCCTAACTCCCTGCGTCAGCCTGACAGTTTTTAATAAAGCAGTAAAATTCTGCATTATAGTGTTACTGTTTCCAAAAGTTATCTACCACCAAAAAATGTTATGTATAATGCATAAA